AAAAGTTAAAAAATGGAAATTGCTAAGGAAAATGAGAAATAAAAAAAAAGACGGACAGATAAAAGTTGTTTTAGATCTTACAATTAATTAAGGTATTCAGTTGAGATAAAAAAGTCAATGGCACGAACGGGATTCGAACCCAGGATCTTCGTCTTGATACGCAGCTGCTCTACCACTTGAGCTATTGTGACCTGACGGTGAGGCTTCTTACTTACCTTTCATCTCGCCTTCTCCACACTCTTTCTCGCCCATATGGAGCAAATCTACACTCATCTGTCAAAAGTACAGCAGACCAATCGTCCAAAGACCAAAGACGAGCCGTGCCGTCTAACCGAGTCTCGCAGTGTCGGCCCACGGCATACCTGATGGAACGTCCATCGTCAATAAGTGCCACTCCACGTGCAACATCCTCAGCACTAAGTGGCATTTTTATGTTTACAACCTGAAATTAAGAAAACAACAAAGGTCAAAACTAAACAGTTTCTTCCATCAGAATTCAAATGAAAATGAATAAACATTTCAAATTCCGTAAAAAGTAAACATTGAAAAATGGTTTATTCCTGTTTTGGATTAAGGATGAAGTGTGTTTACCTCTAACCTGATATTCCCAATTTAAAACATAGCATGAACAAATATTTATTGATGAAAACTATGAGACAAATTAAGGGCAGAATTTTATTTTATCAAGAAAATGAAAAAAATTAATTGGGTGGAATTTTTTGCCTGTCAGTGTATATTGAGTAAATACTGGTATTTTTGTCTTATTTTTAGATTTTAAAAGAATATTTTATTCTTTTTGTGGGAATAATTTTTGGAGACTGTGTTATAAATACTGTTTGCCATAGTCTCATATCTGTGTTATAGATTTATGTACTCTCTATTTTTTTTATATGTTTTTTTTTCGCATCAGTTTTATACCATGTATTTATTCTTCCACTTTATGGCCTAATGTTGTCTTCGAGCAATGGCAACTTTAGCAATTTTGTTAAAAGTTAGCGGGAAATCCCGTGAGTTTAGTGATAGATAGTTTATATTGGTGCCAAAGAAATCAGTTTTGCCAATACTCGGGTAGGAACAAACAACCACTCATAACTCGCAAGATTTCCTGCTAACCTTAAGGAAAATTGCTAAAGTTGGCATCACTCTGAAGGAACTGTGGTAAAAAAAGTATTAAATTATACATTTTATATGAAAAATTTGTTTGGCAAATATAGCAGTCGATACAAAATGTACTGGTGGTGTGAAAAGCCAGTTAGAGGTAGAACATTATGAAATGGAGTGTTTAGATTGGCGTCAAAAAAATCAGTGTTGCCAATACACGGGGAGAAACATTGAAGGAAAAACACTGCACCCGTCCTAAAGTCATGGAATTAAACTTTATCAGATTTACTAAAGAAAGCTGTAAACATTGTAAAATGTCACCTTGTTTGAAATGTTATTTATCTTAATAATTGTAAGAAATTATATTATTTTATTGATGAAAAATCATGAGCAACCTTTTTCGAATCGTTATACATAGATTTTCTGAGATATCTTTACATCTTTACATCATATTTATGAAGATTTTAATGTGGATATCATCGAGTCATTTACGAAAATTGAGAAATCAAAAGTACGAGAAACCTAAAACAATTTTCTTTACATAAAACTAAAGTATTTATCTTTTCAAGTTCAGTTTATTCTGACATGTGATTATGATATCATTATATATAGTGATGATTAACTGTGACACTCACTCCATACCATTTATAATTTTAACATATATCATGTTCCATGACAATGCACCAAAGGGTTCTCTTCATTTCGTCTCTCAGTCAGATCTGCCTTCACCTGACCTGACCTTCAACAAAGATAATCCCTGTTTAAAAATAATCTTATAACCCAGGGCTACGTTATAAAGTGTGCATACAGAAGGCTGTTTCCACTTTACAGGGTTGAAATAGACAAATGGTCTTAATTAAATAAAATTAATCTATTTCTCATAGTCTTTACTGAAAATTTAGCCGCAATTTATGCCATCGTCTAAAATGTTTGAATTACGAACAAAGAACTAAATAATGAGTACTTAAATGGTACAAAACGTGTCCTTATTCAAATCCATGCAAATGGCATACGTGATGTACATGTTTTATGTAAGTTGACTAATAAAAACTAATATTAATTATTCTCCAGATACTGAACATGCAGGAAAAAAGTGTCCTTTATATAGCGGACATGAAAAAGAAGGTTTTCTTCGTTTCACAGCTGCATGATGTTGCATCTAATTTAAATTATTGAGCATTTATTTCTTCTACTTCTTCGTTAGTTTAATAAATAAATAAATATATAATATTATGTGAGTTTAAAATAAAAATCAAACAAGGCCTGATAGAATAATAAATTATATTCTTTGAATATGAAGTATACATCATCTATCAATTTATTAACTAAAGAAATATCTTCGTTATGGAAGGGTTTTATGCTTTATGATTGAAAATAATGGATGTTCAATGTCATGGTGAAATATCTATGAAATCATACAAAAAGTGGTAATAAATGTTAGCGATTTGTCCACGGCTTGTGCATATCACGTGGCCACTCGCCGCTCACCCTTGTCCGACCTCGGGATCCGACTGCGATTATCGTATAACACCCACGCTGCAGAAAAGAAATAATTTCTATGACGCAATCCGAGCGAAGAGGCGGTTTCGCATCGGGTTACCACTTGCGACTCAGTAAGTTCTCGCGACACCCATCGTTCGTCTTTTTTTCACTTTCTAAGCTCCACGAAGTATTTTGAAAAATACCGTGACAATTATTCCAATTAACCTTCCGATACGGTTCAGAAATAACTCGTGATAAAAGCTGTTATGAACAATTCATAATTTTTTATTCATTTTATTGCAATTGAAACGTGTGACCCAAAACTGAACAGTCAAGAGTACAGAAAACATACACAAACATTTTGATTTTAAAAACAAAACGTTAGTTAGAAAGAATAGATTACAACTAGATAATAACTGCAATAGATGCAATCAAACTTGTGCCCAAGGAAAAAATATATGTATCGTATTTTCATCGTATATTATATATATTAGCGGTGATAAAGAAGAATCATAATAAAATAATGACTGTTTATATCAAATATTTCATTGTTTGTAAAGTTATTGAATTTGTAGAAAATGAGTTTTGTAAAATAAGTTAATGATTTCATAATTGTAGAAGGCAAACACATTGTGTCGTCTTGGACACTCCCCACTAGCTTTAATTCGTCGTATGTTGAGGAATGTAGAATAGCTCACGGGAGCAGAGTTGGCGCTTGTCGACCCTAGTACCAATGCAGGACAAGATGTCCGGGGAGTCAATCCTAATGTTCAAGATATATTTATGGCAACTACATTTTTAAAATGTACCTTCTGACTTCTAGTGAATCCCAAATTTTTTTATTTTTATAACAGCTTCGAGGTGTTCACGAAAATGGCAGTTCTTATTAAAAATAACTCCTAAGGTCGGAGCTGGAACCGACGTCGTCAATGGGATGACCATTAAATTTGTAAATAAATAAGTCAAGCTCATTCGCGACCTTTTTCTTGGAAAATCCTACGACTTACACTTATTTTCATTTTAATTTAACAATATTATTTCGCACCAAGGCCAGAAATCGTCCAGAATCTTCTGCAGTAAACAACATTGCTCGAAAGAGTAAGTTGAACGAAAGATCGTCACCTAAAAATGAAGAAAATCTGGAGTTGTTAATGCCTCATCCAACATCAGTTAAAAATTATTTAAAGATCTTGAGATGCGATCTGGTGTAGGTTAGAAAAACATTTCTTTATCGTGCCAACGTTTCGATCTTTATTCGAAGATCGTGAGATGCGGTCTGGTGTGACGTAGGTTTCAGAAAAACATTTTCTTTATCGTGCCAAGGTTTCGATCTTTATTGAGATCATCTTCAGGGCTCAAAGTGTTTGTCTTCTATGTAATTGTGCCATTCTTGCGTGTCGTGTCGAGAGTGCCATCGAAGATGATCTCAATAAAGATCGAAACGTTGGCACGATAAAGAAAATGTTTTTCTGAAACCTACGTCACACCAGACCGCATCTCACGATCTTCGAATAAAGATCGAAACGTAGGCACGATAAAGAAATGTTTTTCTCACCTACACCAGATCGCATCTCAAGATCTTTAAATAATTTTTACGTGATGTTGGATGAGGCATTAACAACTCCAGCTTTTCTTCATTCTTAGGTGACGAAACCTACATCACACCAGACCGCATCTCACGATTTCTAAATAAATATCGATTAACGGTCACTAATCACCACACATTTATTCATGACGTTGTAAACGCCTAATTGTGAAAGATGGCTGTTTCATCGAGACAGCTTTTCAACATTTTGTGACATTCTTTCCAATCGATACAGTTTCTTTTGATTTTTTTTCCAATCTGTCTTGTGACAAATTTCATCTTCCAATTTTTGCTGCTGCAATTTATGCCTCCTCAAGTTAATAAATATTTCATTCCTTTTACTTCCAATCGATGAACGGTTTCCTTTTTGATATGTTTTCGCAGAAGGTCAGCCGCTGAAAACTTTCAAAACATTTTCAAACCGTTAAAGCCCTGAACGTGCAACAAAATTTAACAAAATTATTAAATACCAGCGCTCTCTTTTTGTCAGGGATAACGCGGAAATAATTAAACTTTATCTCAAATTGTCCAGACATTAATAAAATGATGATTAAAAAATTAACTTGGCTTAGAGCAGGAGTAAAACAGAGCTGGGATTTTAACGTGAAACTTTCATTAATATGTTAATTTAGACAAAAATGTTTTGCATTCCATGTTTAAAGTAAAAGAAAAACCTGTGACAAACATCGTAGTTATCTACGTAAATGACTGTGGTGTCGTTTCACGAACGATTTCCTGACTCGTTAGATAATTTTTCAAATATGGAAAATAAAATTCACCCAATTATAAAATATCACATTTTGTATAACCTTCAGTCTTATTTCTATTGTAGGTGCAGTACGCATACCAGCTCCCGGGGTTCAAGAGGGTGAAAAGAGGTTACAAGCCTCTGAACGTGGAAAACCTCGTACCTCATATCAAGCCGGAGCGAGACCCCACGGACCCATATTTCACGTTCCAATGGTATTTAAAAAACACCGGTCAAAATGGTGGCAAACCTAAGCTTGACCTGAACGTCGAAGCAGCCTGGGCGCAGGGTGTCACAGGGAAAAATGTAACGACCGCAATTATGGACGACGGTGAGAAATAATATCTACTTTTTCGAGATTTTGCTTAATTAATTTTTTCTTAATAACAACTCTTTTTTAGGTGTCGATTACATGCACGAAGATCTTAAATATAACTACGTAAGTAATGCCATTAATTTAACATGTTCAATTATTAATCAAGTGCATAGGGAAACTTGGCTTAAATATTTATAGCATAATTTGTGGAAGAACGTTTGCACTAAGTAAAATCTTCTAATCTTCCAAAGAGCATTACTTACTCCCTTCCTTTTCTTTATATATACTGGTTCTGTATTCAAACAAAAATTAATTATGATATATACGATAAGAGGACTAATATCAGTAAAAAGCAAATAGTATAATAAAAGAGAACAACATAACAGATACTAATATGTAGTACTGCTGACTGAAAAAAAAGTAGTAACATGTTCCAATCTCCCAAGGGGCATTACTTAGTCCCTTTCTTTTCTCTATAAAGACAGCTTCGTTAATGAAATTCTACGGGGAAAAAATTAAAATATCAAAATTTTTTATAGTGAAGAGTTTTTAATTCTCTTTTGTTGGACATTATGTATAGCTAATATGTTACTTTTGGCCAACATCGACAGTAAAATCATTTTCCTCCCAACATCGCCTATTTAAGCCAGAAATGAGCCGAAATAACAAAATCGTTCAACAAAATAAGAGCATGATCAAATCTTTCCTGTTTCCAATTTAAACCACAAAACCACCATTATCCCTTATAAAAGGTAAATAGTCTTAAAATCTCCCCCTGCATGGAGGGGTTTATTTTATTTATCACTATTAATGTTGAAAACCGTTTTAGCATTCTCATATATAAGGTGTATCCACGATTTGTGTTTGGTGTTAGTCCTTCAGATTTGTTATTGTAGGTGAAGATTTTGTTTTCATGAAGGAAGATTATTTTTTAAGACGCTTAAAATCAGTGGAAAGGAAAGATAATTTGTTGATACAACATGCAATCTCTGTTTTGTGCAAAAAAAATTAAATTCTTAGAATATTCTTGCAGCACATACTTTTCGTTACAAAGTAGATTTTATCCCAGAATCTATACAGAAATCAGCAATTTGAGGATTTGGAATTGGATGACAGGCGTTTTCGTTCGATTTATCCTAAACGAGAGAAGGTAGCGTTTTTTCGTCAGAACACTGTAACAAACAGCATAGTGTAAAACTCAGCTATTAATTGTTCTGTGCCGATTTGGCTTTTATGGAGCAGGTGCTATTGCTGAAATAATAAATAACAATAATGAATAATAAAGAATAATAATATTTGGATTAGGCGAGTTATCTAATCTCTTTGGTTAAGTAGGACCATCTAAAAACAGTTCCACGCGACCAAATCATATTCGCCGAGAATTACACGAAATTTACACTAATTTTTCATCTCAACCACACTTTACATAAAAATTATAAAGCAATTAAAAATAACCAAATTTTCAATTCATGTTGAGTAACCTTGTTAACTATGTTAGATCGTGTTAGGTCGAGAAGAATGATAACGTAGATTTGTAAGTATCGGCTAGTTAACATTGCTCGATCTAACAGGGTAGAGCCAATGTTCAATGTTAAGTCGAATGGAATAGCGATTTTTTTTTTGTGTGTGTTTTTTTATTGGCCTTATGATTTTGCATATTATTGAATTCTTGTGTGTTCAAATTGGGGGTTATCGGGAAAAAAGGGCCAGAGGCGACGGTGGGAATCGAACCCACGACCGCGGCGTGAGAGTCTCTCATGCTAACCACTCGGCTACCGCGGTCCCCAGAATAGCGATGTTGTCACATTGTTAGCCGTTAGGACGTAGGTAACAAACATGAATTTAACAATTGTTTTTTGTTGACACGTATTTTTATTGTTAAATACCCGTTAATTAAATCAAACCAATACATTTCTTTTTAATTTCTGACATATCCTAATACATTCATTCATAGTGGATACATCCACCTATCCCACAAAGTGGTAGGCTGTTAGCCGTTAGAATATAAGTTAGGTATGTCGGCAGGAATTGAAACGTGTCATTTGTTAGTACTTTTCGAGGGCATAAATAGCAATTTGAATGAAAGAGTTGATTAATTTTCCTTTTTTACTAACTTTTGGCATCTTATAATTTAACACATCAAAAAAAAACAGAACAAACAACAAGACTTCAAGGGCTGTTATAGCTTTATTTTTGGTTCTACCAGTCGCCCACTCACAGCATTGAGGAAAAATTAACATTTAACATGCTAAGAAAAGGAGGCGTTCACGATCTTACTGAGCATTTCTGTATTCGGGTTAACACGAGGTAACATCTAACAAACATCGTGAATACTATTTGGTTCGAGTTATTCCCACTCAGCTAGCAAAGTTAACACAAGTAACTTCAATATACCCGACATCGTTGATTTTGATGTACTCGATTTAATTTGAATAGAGGACAAAACCAAAGACTACTATCGTGTCGGATAGCCAGGCAGCCATCAGAGCAATAATTAGCTCGAGAAAGGTGCGCAAAACAAATCTCTACTGCGTTCCCCAGGATACGCAGAAGAAAAGGTAACAATGAATTGGATGCTACTACACAGCTAATAGGCCCTGAACCCTGTTGGTTGTATAGGTATTCGCACTACCAATTAGCATCTTAGGAAAGAATATGATGAAAGTGAGGAAACGATGGAATTCACTCGCTGGAGACAATCCAAAAACCTCTTGGCGAGAATTCTAAAGAAAGAATAATAGAGTGCACCAAAACAAGCCAGATAAGGCTCCGGATCTTCACTGCGGACTGGATGGGCATTTGAAGAAGATTGGTATCAACCAACACGGTACGTACGACCAGAGGAGGATGTGCAAGACCATATATACGCCCTGAAGCATTCTTGGGGTAACACAAAGAAACCCAGAATCCTACACCACAGAATGGATCAAAAAAAGAAAAAAAGAGAAGTGGATAAACTCTAGGGGTACTAGACATAAGGGGTATTCACGATCTTTTTGTTAATCTGTTAACTTCGTTAGGCCCTGTTAGATCGAGAAAAATGATGACGTAGACTTGTAAGAATCGGATAGTTAACATTGCTCGATCTAACAGGCCTGGGCCAATGTTAGATATTAGGTGGAAAATCAATCCGTTTGGGCGTAGGTAACCAACATGGCAGCCATGAATTTAACAGCTGTTTTTTGTTTACACGTATTTTTATTCTTAAATAAGCGTTAATCAGACAAATACATTTCTTTTGTTAATTTCTGACCTGTCCTTATACTCTCATTCATAACAGATACATCCCTTATCCTATAAAATTGTAGGCTGTTAGACGTTAGAATACAAGTAAGGTAGGTCGGCACTAATCGAAGCTTGTCATTTGTTAGTACTTTTCGAATGCATAGATAGCATTTTGAATGAAAGAGTTGATTAATTTCTTTTTTTATTAACTTCTGGCATATTACAGTTTAACACAAAAGAAAACCAAAACAAACAACAACAAGCCTTCAAGGACTGTTATAGTTTTATTTTTGGTTCTACCAATCGCCAGGCGCAGCATTGCGGAAAAATTAACGTTTAGCATGCTAAGAAAAGGAGGCGTTCACGATCTTACTGAGCATTTCTGTATTCGGGTTAACACGAGTTAACATCTAACAAACATCTTGAATATCCCTAATGTAAGCTTATGCTAAACAACTCTTACCAAAAGTGGCAAACTTACTGCTACAATTAGAGAGGGCTAAACTCAGAAGAGTGATAGGACTATATACAGGTCACTGGCATCTGAGAAAACGTGCACATATGGGCATATTCAATGATGATCCCGTTTGTAGATTATGCTAAGAGGAGAATGAAACAGCCACCCAAACATCTTCGAATGTGAAGCAACCGTTCAAAGGATACATAACCTGGAATATAAAGAAAAAAGAAGGAAAAGGTTTGAAGCAACGACGGTCAATGACATAGTACTTCTTAAGAGAAGGATCCAGTCGATTGTACTGAACTAGAACTAGCAATATTCCAAAAGGCTGCAGTGCTTACGAAACAAAAAAAAACCCTTCTTAGTATCCATCATTATCATCGTACAGATTATACGAGGAGGCAAAATGAACCACAACTTATTAACGGACTGTGGTAGACTTATCCGCAGGATGAAATGCTTTTGGATATATAGCATAACGGTAGAAAACGTACAACTAATAAAACCTAGCCTAATGAAAAAGTTGCTTGATGAATTGCGACTCCCTTTTGGTATAGGTTAGGTGCTATAGGTAGAAAACTTGGGATACAATAGCTCTAAAACTTAGCTCCCACTCCCTAAAATGGAAGAATGTTAAGTAATTTTTTTACGAGGGTTCGCAACAGCAGAGATCATATAAACCCTCAGGGTGCCGGTGTTTTGAAAAAAAAGATTTGTAAGTATGTCCGGTTCGAATGCAGGGCCGCTGGATTCGAACACGGACCTTTACCTTACAGTGATGAGCGTCGTGTCAACGCCTAAACCGTTGCGGCCACCGTCGCCCCCCCTCTACACTTTTTTTGGATCTAACACGTTTTAACAATTAACAGGGTTAGCACAAAGATCGTGAATACCCCTATAGACTTAATAATAGCAATTAACTTCCAGTCCATATAATTTTTTCTGCACAATTATTCATGAGGCACAGAGTTCAACGATTTACGAAAGACTACAAAGTAGCAAAAATTTGACGTTTTTTCGAGAATGTATTAACCATAAGCTGTAGAATGAAAGTATGTATTGTTTATTCATCCTATCCCGATTTTAATACGTTCCTATTCATCTGTGATACTGTATTAGTACTTGCCAATTACTTGTGTTTTCTTCTTTATTAATCAAACAATTTTTTTAAAGATAATTTATGTGTGTTTCCTACAAATGTAAACGGACCTTGGGTAGAATTTGTACGTTTCTCATTTTTTCTCTCTCATTTATTAAGTAAGAAGAGTTGTGATGGATCCCTGTGTAACGGTTGATCCCTTTGACATATAATACTCTGTGTTTCTGACTGTAGTCTTTCCGGGAAAATACATATTTGCCAAGTATATCACAGTGTCAGACATATTTGCACTAGCTCCGAAGAGCTGCGGTCTCATTACCTGTTTCCTCTAAATCCAAAAATAGCGTAGCGCGAGCCGAAAATTATTGAGATCTTAAATCGATACTGTGGCCAAGTATTACAAGAATGCTGACTGTACAGGAAAGA